TTTTACACACAATAACTAAATTCTTATATTTTTTTCTACTTAATGGTAAGGTTTACTGCTAATATATTTAAAATCCTTCAGTTTTGTTTATTATTATTAACCTACATTTGTATTTGAGCAATGCTGACTTCGTATGGACGAGTTCCTAACTTTGACTAAACACAATACCCCGACTCCTTAGCTGGTATCTTAACTTAGACGTCACGTCAACATTTACTAACCAACGCTGTGGAGTCTATTTTGGAAGAACTCGAACCTAAATTTGATTAAACTCGTTTCAAATTAGTTCTTAAACCGTTACCCATCATGAATTTTTAGCGAACATTATTAATTAAACTTTATAAAGGTATCGGCCATGCGACCCAATGGTAGTTTTTTCCTGCCCCCCCCCCCCCCGAACAGGAGGTAGTGGGTTTAAAGTAATCCAGGGCCGTCCGTAGCTACGGGTGTATAGCTTCGGTGGACTTGATAAGTTCAGTAAGTCAGGCAGCCATTCTCAGGGAGGGATGAAACCCTGATAAGGAAAAAAAATAACAACAACTCATCCATTGAGGTCGGAACTCAGCGGCCATCTTGGGGATAGAGTAAAAATCTGCAACGCAGGCTGAAAAGGCGTGCAGTCTCAGCAGTTTAGATGGGTTTTCGGAATAAATCGGGAATCTAAATAAAATATATATAAAACAAATAAAGTAGAAAACAGAAGAGGGAAAAACAGCTCATATTGATCATAATGTATTCAATTTTGTTATAATTTCTTACTTTTTTACTTTTGTATTTTTCTAATTTAAAAAAAAACAAAACGACCTTCCTGACAACACAACAAGCAAACACCACCGTCTACCACCATTGTATTGGTGTCAGGTGTTCTTTTCAAATTGTATCCATTTTATGCAATAAAAAAATGATGGCAATATTATCATCACACACGAGTTATTTTAATTCTATGTTCTATTATTATTTTACTCCAATGCAATATTTAAAAGACTCCACTCTGTTAATAACATTTGAATAGTTAAAAGTCTTCACTCGGAATGACTAAGGTTATTCTAACTGCAATGTAAATCACAGTGGCCCGTTGACGTAAATGTTTGTACAGAAAAAATAATATGTTGGACGGAGTGGTAGCACCCCTGAGAGGTGGCCTCACGTTTTAACCCCACTTCCTTATCTGCTCAATCAGCTTGTATTGAGACAGTGAGACTAGACTCGACTTTAGCAGTTTTCCCTATCATCTGAGGTACCCAAATCATTTAAGGTAACCAACTCATTTATGGTACCCAACTCATTTAAGGTAACCAACTGATTTGAGGGGACCCAATTCATTTAAGGTACCCAACTCATTTAAGGTACCCAACTCATTTAAGGTACCTAACTCATTTAAGGTAACCAACTCATTTAAGGTTAGTAACTCATTTAAGGTACCTAACCCATTTAAGGTACCTAACTCATTTATTAAGGTATCTAACATAGCGAAAGCCATTGCGATATGATTTTTTATGTCCACACAGTTAGAGGTGCAGGAAAAAATTGTATACGCTCCAAAAATTAATCTATAATAATGTAATGGTATCGAAGGTGAATAATAATCTAAATCTCAAGGTTGGACTTATTTTTCATATAATTACAAAACATGTAGAATACACTGGTTGGGAAAAAAAGGTGTGTGTGGGGGGTGGGGGTTGCTGCACTTAGTCTTGTTACCTGTGAGGTGGTGATGAAACTTGACTTCAGATTTTTCTCTCTCTATATTTTTTCAAGTAATGCGAAGGCATCATGATGGAATTTTAATTGTGTGGCCTTAAGAGTGTCCCTTTAGCCTTAAATCAGTGGTTCTCAGACCATTTTAACAGTGGACGTATCAAACCGACTGTCAAAAATTCAGCTACCAAAAACTCATGGAGTCAGTGAGGCCGACGCTCTTTCGTGTTTGTTACTGAGTTGTCTTTGTGTAACTTTTATTGTAACCCCATGGAACAACGATGGACCCCGATGGATAACAATTTGAGAATAGCTGGCCAAGACAAGTCTCCCCTGGTGGGCAACCGCTAGTTAAGATGAATGCTCAAGGCGCATCGGAGTTGGGAAAAGTGGTAACCACCGTGGGCAGTGCTTTACAAGGTTGTGAGATCAACGTACAGATGGGATTGGACCTGGACGGAACCCTGCTGAAGACCGAACCCGAACCCTGGTGAAGACCGAACCCAAACCCTGGTGAAGACTGAACCTGAACCCTGGTGAAGACCGAACCCGAACCCTGGTGAAGACCGAACCCGAACCCCACTGAAGACCGAACCCGAACCCTGCTGAAGACCGAACCCGAACCCAATGACGACTGGATCTCAACGTCACCGAGTACGACCCCGACCCGAACGAACGAACCCATTGCAAACGCATTAGAACCGACAATGTTTTACCAATGTGACACAGCAGTACTTAAGCCAGGAAGGCTTAGATTTTAATTACAACTAGAAAACCCAATTACAAAACGAGTTATTGTAAACCAAAATCATATATTTTAAAAAAAAATATCACCCCCCCCCCCTCGCCAACACCGATTCTCGCATAAGGTTGATTTTTGTTTATCTCAGTGCTTGTCAGATTAAACAACACATTGTTGCCGACTCTCTCTTTTTCTCACCCAAGTGTCAGCAACTTGAATCGTTCAACCCCCCCCCCCCAAAAAAAAAAAAAAAAAAAAAAAAACACAATTATAATTGTTTATAAACGTAACCCCCATTGTGCAAGAGAAGTCTCAGCGGTCACTCGAGGCTGGAAGGATTGATAAGTTATCACCCTTTAAATTAGAACACAACATTAAGATTAAACCCCTAAACAATTTTATGTACCCTTAATTTTTTTTCATTAATTTTTTTTTTCGTCCAAAGCCTTTATTTAATGGTTTTATAATTCCGGTGTACTAAGATAGCTAAAGAAACTAGATTTTCCTATTTTTCAAAGTTTATTTAGTCAAATAATAAATATTTTGAACGCTTATGGTCATAGAATAAAATTATAATTTTTATCTTATTTAATTTAAAGCCAAACTAATTACGATACGCGATACTTATGCACCGCGCTGAATCCAAACTCAAGTTGTTGCCGGGCCGAACCCGAGCTTCTAAAAACAGGGCTCGATTCCCATCTCTAAAAATCAACGCCTGACTGCGACCTTCACCCTCTTGTCACGTTGACCGGCCTGGTTGTCACTGATGTCGCGCTGGCATAAGTGACAGTAAGTGATGTCAACAAACCTGGGATGTAGAGCGTTGGATATTAACAAACTGGGTCAGCTGGCGTGAAGTCAGTGCACGCGATGGAGTAAGGGGGGCGGGGGGGGGGGGGGGGGGTTTTGGGGGGGGGGGGGAGGGGGGGGGGGGGGGGGGGGGGGGGGGGGCGGGGTTTCATCGTGATGACAAGTAGAGAGAAAAAAAGGCCAGAGCGATACTAGAAACTTTAGTGTCTTTAACCGCTGGGTTTCGTTTATGGGTCTGGCGTTCAGTCAGGCTGCAAGCAGCTCAGTGAGACTTTAGGTCTGCCAGCCTTGATGAATGCGAACATGTGACAAACAAAATGTACAGTCAACTCTCAAAATGCACATTAATTTAGGGGAGGTGGGTGGGTGTGGGGTCAACGGCATGTCCTAGCAACAAAAAACACAAAAAAAAACAACAACAAAATCAACATAAAAAATCCAAAAGAAAAACAAGCGCTTAGTGAATTTAATTGAAATATTATCTGATGTCCGAACAGCTTATAATTTGATACATATTTTCACGTACATTACAATAAATATCCTTTCCCTCACAAAGGATGTTACACACACTTCTACTTACATTATATTAAACGTACTTTTACTTACACTACATTACACGTACATTTACTTTCGTTACATTACAAGTACTGCTACTTACTTTAATTTACAAATAATTTTACTTGCATTACATTACAAATAATTTTACTTAGGCCTACTTTACATTACAATTGATTTGACGACATTGCATTAGACGCATTTTGTTATTTATATTACATTACACTTACGTTTATTTACATTACATTTTATGTTATTTTACGTACATTGCATTACATATACTTCACTCACATTATACTTCACTTACTTCCACTAATATGCACTTCACTTACATGTGATATGTACATCATTTTAAGCCTGCCAGCATGCGGCCTGCACTTTACAATGTTAGTATGGAGATACATCTACTTAAGCCAGGTGACAATGTGTTAAAGCAAACATTCACTTTATAATGTTTGTATGGAGATACAACTACTTAAGCCAGGTGACAATGTGTTAAAGCAAACATTCACTTTATAATGTTAGAATGGAGATTCAACTACTTAAGCCAGATGACAATGTGATATAGACAACATTCACTTTACAATGTTAGTATGGAGATACAACTACTTAAGCCAGATGACAATGTCTTAAAGCAAACATTCTCTTTACATCACGCTATGAAACATGTTTCTAGCGGGCAGTTACAGAGTTCGTATATTGGGAAGAGCCAGTTGTCGAGACATGGTATTGTGTGTTATAAAAAAAAAAAAATACTGACAATCCTATATTTTAAAGTAAATAATTATTTTCGCCACAATAAGTGGCTATTACGGTGATGAGATCGTCCCGCGAATACATGCACGTGAATATATGCATGGACTTCGTACTGCACACACGCACACACACACAGACTGGCAAACTTACACAATCAGATAGTATGAGCTAACCAGTTCCATCCAAGTAGACGCCAGGTTATGTGGTAACCACCATTTGATGTGATGCATGAGCCTGACGGTAAGTGAGCCAGGGTCACTCATGTGTGACACCAGTGCTACAAAGGTTCCCTGCGGAGAGGGAAGGGTGGGGGAGAGGGGGCTTCACGGATGGTTGACTCTGGAACGCGTTCCATTGACGTCACGTAGCACTCTCCAGGGACACATAAGAATCATTTTGATTATACTAGTTCCATTTGTAGCTATCGATATCTTAATGAAAGTACCTCATCGAGTGAGCAAGAAACAAAGGGATCTACTCGTTTGGATAAACAACGATACGTTCTGTCAATTGTGCCTACGCCGTGAAGATTGATGTCTTTAATGTATTAACGCGACGCAACCATTTTTTTTTTAAAAAGGTACTTTTTTTTTAAACGTCTTTTTATCTGACACGGTAAATTTGATTGTTATTTAAAAAGTAAGACTTTTTGTTTTTCTTTAAATAACAGTAATTACACCGATCCACGTTTTTAGATGTGAGATGCAAACACACACACACTATACAATTGACAAAAGCAAAAAAAAAAAAAAAATACTGCCGAGTTTTGTGCTACAACGACATAACTTCAAAAATTTTCTGTCGTCTGCGTTTGTTAATTCTCAAGACTTTTTTTGTGTGGGTCTTTTCCGTAATTGCGAACACCCTTATACGACGGAGTTTTTTTTCAACGTATTTTTATTTAACAATATCTGTGATGATTTTTTTTTTTAAACGGATATCTAGGACGAAAATTTGATTTGGGGTCTGTGTTAAGATGGATTTATAGGACAACTTTTTTCAACATTGTGTTTTTTATGACGAATTTTTCAATACTTTCAATATTGTTATTTATCTTATAGTACTTCTTATTAATTCTATTAAAAAAAAAATATTTATTTTAAGATCTTTAGGGCAACCCCAGATGTTAAGCCAGCAACACAGAGATTGTGAAGTTGACAACATTGTTTTGTCTTGCTCTTTGTCACTTGTCATATTATGGGAGTAACTCTAATNATATATATATATATATATATATATATATATATAAATATATAAATATAAATATATATACACACACATATATACACACACAAGAGATTTAAGTAATGCTATTTAGTTTCTTAAGATGATCTTTTTAAAACCTGTAAGTCAGTTTTTCCCTCTAATTGACCACGTCGAAGTGAAGCAGCTGATGGTGTTAGAAACTTAACACAGGAATCAACAACGCGTCATAGAATGAAGTGAGCTCTCAGAGTAGTTAAGGGTGCGTCAGAGGTCACGCCCCTGTGCCCCAACAAAGATTAGTTTCCCCTTTTGATTTAAAAAAAAAAAATATATCTTCAAGCGAAGGTACTGCCTCTAATAACAGGTCATAGGTCATAGTTTTTGTTTCCACAGACATCGACGGGGGCTCTCTTCCCTTGACATGGGGCACGTTTCACCAAAGCACCCATCCACAGGTAGGTCAACCAACCAAAATCAGTACTATTTCAACTAGTTTCATCTTCATGCACTAAATGCAGTAAGTTCTATTCATTAATATAACCGCCCCCCCCCCCCAAAAAAAAAACAAAAAAAAACAAAAACAAACCCATTTAAATTGAAACTAAAGTTAATTACAATTGATCATCTTTGTGTCTACTTCTATCGAATATATCCATTTCATATTTTGAATCTACCAAAATGAACCCATTGGATCTCCTCCCTTCAGGCGTGCTGTGGTCAGTATTTGACCTCACCTTGAAGGTACTCATCTGTGTGGTCTACGTCACAAGAGCTGCCTTCGATGACGTCACGCAGCACAAGAGGTTAGCGAGATTTTATTTTTTCGTCCGTCAAGTTTTAACATCAACATTGATTACTGGTGCTGTGCCGACCGTCGGTCTTCAACCCCGGGGCCTGCACGCATTGTCTTAACCCAAATTACGGATGAATCATGTAGCGCAGGGCCTTAAAGCTACGACCCTCCAAGAGTCTTTTACCCTGGCCGCCCGTACAACTCCCTCCTCATTTCCCAGAACCAGGCCAACACTTACCATTGATGTACCAGTATGTTTATGTTTGCTATATTGTTCTTCTTTTAAAATATGTTTTCTCCTGTTTTTACAATTCGATATATATATATATATATATATATATATATATATATATATACACACACACACAGGTAATTTAAATTTTAATTAATTTTTCTCTTCTTACAGTGAAGCTACGACGTGTGATTCCCGTCTAGATGTCTGCACGAATCCTTCCAGGGGTCCGATTAATTGGTAGGATGATTATGATGATTATTCAAGAAGTCCATTATTATTTATATTTAAGTTTTGGAATTTAAAAAAACCCAAAACAATTCTCATAAAATATTCGTATCCTTTTAATACATTTATTTTGATTATATGAGAACAGGTTCATGCTAATGTGGGTCAGGCGTAGTTGGGCCATGTGGGGCGCAGAGGCTGTCCTTGCACTGCTATCGCTGACCAGAGCTGTTGTGGTCATACGCACGTCATCGCGGGTAAGTTACTGCGGACCGCTGATTGGCATGTTGTCATCATAGCTTCACATATAACATTATCTTTTATTGGGTCAAACAGTCTGACATATATTTCTAGCGATATTGCAAGGCATTTCAATTATTTCTGAGGTGAGGTTTGCATTCACTTTTTTTTCCCCCATATCTTGTACATCACTGTTTTTATTTGCTCAGAACCAAATTGCAAATAAATGACCAAGAATCGGGATCAAACCAACGGTTTTCCGTGAAACAATGTTTAGATTAATGTTTAGAACCAACATATAACCAACTGGCGGCTACAAATGTTGGACTCAATGTACACTCTCGTTATCTTTGTACATCATAACAAATGTTAAACACATGAATCTTAAGTAACTAAAGGTTTGAAAATACCTCTTCTTTCCATCTTGAAGACCAAACAGGTCTTGACCACATCTTTCATCGTGGAGTTGATGTGTAGCCTGCCATTCATTGGCACTGTGAGTATACAAACAACTGCACTGTTACAATGACGGTACATTTTTAATGGTGGGTTTACAGCAGATTTGTTTGAGGGCGAAAACGAGGCCAGATTTTTTTTTTAGTAATATGGAACTCTTGACAAGGGAAGCATGTTAATATTTAAATAGAATGACGGGAGTTATGTCACTTTAATATATGGTTTCGTCCCCTCTTGAACTGAAGTCTCATAGACGAAGTCTAACATGTATATTCTAAATTGCAATCTTACATACACGACCTTAAATACAAAGTATTAAATACACAGTGTCTTATACACAGACTTACATACACAGTCTTACTTCTAACATCGATTACAACATAACTTGCCTCTTACATCGATTACGATATAACTTGTCTCTTACATTGATTATAACATAACTTTCTCTTACATCGATTACAACATAACGTGTTTCTAACATCGATTAAAACATAACTTGTCTCTTACATCGATTAAAACATAATTTGTCTCTTACATCGATTACAAAATAACTTGTTTCTTACATTTCTGACATCGATTACAAAATAACTTGTTTCTTACATTTCTGACATCGATTACAAAATAACTTATTTCTTACATTTATGAGATCGATTACAAAATAACTTGTTTCTTACATTTCTGACATCGATTACAACAGCTCGTTAAGCCAAGTGTGCTCAAGGACTTGTTCGTTCCTTCATTCCTCCACTGCTGGCTGCTAAAAGACTCTTTAAGTAGACTTTATGTAAGTAAATGTGAGTAATCATGACAGCAAATGTAAGCAAGCACGACAGTAAAAAATCTGCAAGTAATAAAAATCTTGTTGAATCTCAGCACACTATTTTTAAATGAATTTAACCCTTTACTAACAGTTCATTATGTGTATGTGAGGCGTATGGACATGAACCTACTCCCTTTCCTTAACGGCTTCCCCGCTTCTTGTACACGTTGTCATAGCAACGTTTACCATCGGACTATCGCTCATCAAGTTTTAATATCATCCTGCAGAGAGAGCTGCGCGTCAGGAAGTCAGATATCCGTGACATCCGACTCACTCTGTTCCAACAGACGCTCATCTTCACTGTTAGTGTGTCCAGCCTGGTGTTCATCAGGTTAGTGGATGGAGGATTTATTTTTTTTTATTTTTTTTATTTTTTTTATTTTTTTTTTTG